CTGGTAACGCGCTTCCCCAGTCACCCGCCACAGCTCGTTCATGGCCATGGTGTAGAAACACTCGCTGAAGATGGTTCGCTGCACCTTGACCGGGCGGCCGTCCCGTGTTAGCGCGAAGGCGCACTTCTTTCCGGGAGGTGCCACTCGGGCATAACGCAGCAAAAATTCGCCACCTGGTGGTTGGGAAGTTGGCATGCTGGAACTCAGGTGAGGACGCCCCCCCCCCCACCCCACTCCCACCCCCGCCGCCGACCCTTCACTGCTTCTCAACCTCCCCAGGAACTAGAGTAAACTTGGAGGTGCCTCTGGGGACATGGGGACACGGAGGGGGCACCTGCTTTAGCTGAATCCAGAAGTTCAGGGCTGCGGAAACGCTCAAGTTTTCGGTACAGGCGACAATACATCCACACCTGTGGGGGAGTAGAGGGAATATGGCTGAAGTGGGGAGCAGCGGGGGTTCTCGGGGCTGGGAGGAGAAGGAGTCCTTAGGTGCCCCTGTCACGGGAGGAGGAGTGTGGAGATGACCGGCCTTGTGCGTGCAGACTGAGGACAGGCCAAGCTGACTCCAGCTTCTGCCTCTGGGAGAGCTTCTAGCCTGGGCACATCCCCTACCTGCCTCCCCTGCAGCCAGACATACTTGAGGTCATCGTACACCTGCCCATCTCGACCAAGGCACGTGAAGAAACCCCTGTGGGATGCACAGTATTAGCAAAGGGGGGAAGAGGCCTGGCATCCACCGGATCCACTGCTCTGCTGGGCTCAGCAGATCTGAGTCAGCTGACAGGGAGGTGGGGGCTCAGGAGGGGCAAAGACCCCTACTGAGGGCACCAGAAGGGCGAGGCGCACCCATGCTCTCGGTCGTGAGAGTGCTCCGTCCAGAAAGCCACCACACGGTCCAGTTCCTGCTCCACACGCTCCTTCCAGGTCTGCAGAGCCTCTCGCTCCTTTTCCATGTCCTGGGGGGAACTCGGGACTTGGAGACACAGCTTCCCCACAGATCTCCCCATCTTCCTAGGTCCCAACCTCCCCAACAGGCTCCTCTGTGCCCCAGGTCACCCCACACCCCAGTGGACCCCAGGGCTGTCTGAGCCGTCTCCCCTGGGCCCCCAGGCCTCAGAACCCAGAACTCAGGGTTCCCCACACCCTTGCACGGAGCTGTCCTCTGGCCCGGCCCCAGGACTGACCCCACCGTCCTGAGAATCCTCCAGGACAACACCCTCCCCACTACGGGCCCCACCACTGGCCTGCCACACTCGGAGACCCCCGCTCATCCTTCCGTCTCCTCCAGGAAGCCAGACAGAGCTGGTCTTGGTCCCGTGACTGTCACTCAGCTGACCCAGCCGCGCCCCACCCGCCCCCTCCTCCCGGAGGTTCCGCAGAGTCTGGGGGCGGGGCTTGGCGGTCGCACGGCTCCGCCCCCGTGCTCCGGCACCGCCCCCACGCTCGCGGGCCAAGACCCTTGAGCCGCAGAGCAGGGCAGAGCTGCAGCAGTGACCACTGCTGGGCGCCCTCGGCTCGAGATCCTCCTGATGGGAAATGCTGGGTGAACTGGCAGGGCACTCTGGGGCGGGCAACACGGGGCTGGCTCCCGCACATCTGCTCCTCCCAGCCACCTCTCCCGACCCTTGAACGGAGTTGGGGGGAGTGGTGGGGGAGGGGCCTGGGCAGGGCAGGGCTGCTGAGGGTGGTGGCCCCAGCTCTTGCTTAGGGGAGGTCCTGGCTTTGGGTCCAGCTGGGCTTATACCCACCCACCCTGCTCACAGAGGCATGTCATTAGTTATGATATATCCCTTCACGCCCAGCCTCTCCCCCTGCTTTTCCAGCACTGTCCCCCTCATGCCTAGCCAAGGACAAGCCTTTGATTATGTGGAAGGTTCTAAGGTTCCTGTGGATGAGTATGCTGGCCTTGGGTCCAGTGGATGGGGCTTTGGCCAATCCCAAGGCAGAGAACTGGCACCTCAAGGCAGGTGAGTGGAGGGATGGTGGATGTGGGTGCCACGCAGCCATCTGACACACACCCGGCAGATCTGCACAGGCCCCCACCCCTCTGCGGCCAGCCCCACATGGACCCTTTTCACCGACTGGCCGGCATCCTCCCACCCCCAGCCATCACTCCTACTGCTCCAACTTGAAGGGCATGTGCCCACCCCTACCCCCACCCCGACCACTCGGTTCCAAATCAGATCAGAACTGGTGCCATGGGGAAAACAGCCATGGTTCCTGGTATCATGATCAACAGGACAGGACCCAACATGAGACACCGAACCCAGTGGAGTGAGCACCAGGGAGAGGCTTGCCCTGGGAGGCTTCCCAGGAGAGGTGGCCACGAGCTGGCATGGCGTGGGCACACAGCCCCAAAGGGCAGAGATGGAACGACTGGATGAGAAGGTAACGAGGACATCTCCCCACGCCCCTTGGGTCCCTAGCACGAGCCCCACGTCCCAGCACAGCTCCTCCTGGCCGGTTGGCACGAACTACTCATCCCCCCCATCCATTTAACCCCAGCTAACCCACCCCCGCTAGCGACACCACCACCAGTTGGACTGCCAGAGTTTGTTCAATAGAAGTGCTGCTCCTTCTCTTTGGAGCCTGACGTGTGCACGAGGGAGCCAGCAGCGTGAGAGGAGTCACTCCTACAGCACCTGCTGAGTCTGACACAGGAACCACCCCATGGGCGACCCAGGTCTGTCCTGGGGAGCACTCTGGGGGACCGGAGCTCTCAGTGGAAAGAGCCCAGCTCAGCCCTCCCCACCCGCCCGAGAGGAGGACAGTGGCTGGTGACCTGCCAGCCCTCTACCCCAGTCCCCTGTCCGCTGGGTGGGGAAGGGAGGGAAGGCGATCTGGTCTCTAGACAGGGACTTGGCAGCAACTGCCCAGGGAGTCCCTTGGCCTCTAAACCATGGCTACTGTGGGACCTTTTGTGGGGAACCAGGTCCTGGCCCAGCTCAGTCCCCAGGACTGTGCGCCTCGGCGGAGCCTTGAAACTTGGGAGGCAATCGGGAACCCTGCTAACTGCCCTTTGAGCAAGAGGCTCCTAGGGGTTCGGTGAGCCATGGGGGTGGGTGGTGGCGTCACACCTCCAGCCTCCTCCCTGGGAGTCCTGGACACAGTAAAAGAGCAGGTGGTTATTTCAAAAAAAGTCTTTTAATTGTTCAAAATAGCACAAAACGACATCGCACTATGGTAATATTGAGTCACGGGGGTTACTCTACAATAGATGAACGGGTGTACTGTTCTCAGAAATGAGAGAAATCAAAGGGCGCTCAGGAGAAGGGACAGGGAAAACAACGGGACCAGGCGAGTGGGCTCCAAGGTGACTGACTAAACGTGACATTTTTCCACAGCGAAGTATACTATAATACAACAAACCAGAGGCCCCAGAAGATGCGGGCCAGTGGCAAGGGTCTGCGGAGGCCGGGCCCCTCACTGCAGCTCATCTCCAGGGCAGAGGTGGGGGGGGGGGTCTGAAAAGATTGGCTGCTCGCTTTAGATCCTTCTGCACAACCCGCTGGCAAGCCTTGCTCAGTGCCTAAAGCTTGGGTGTGGGGCAGAAAGCTGTCTCATGAGCCACACTAATAAGTGCCCCAAGCCTCCCAAGTTTGGCCCTGGGAGGATGGCCATGGCCCTGCAAATTCATAGACCTGGTGTTGGTAGCCTGCTTCTTCCCCATGGTCTCTCCTGGGTGCCACCACACATCTGCTCTCCCAGGCTGCTCTCTGAGATGGAGTTGCCCTCCATCCCCTCACCCCACCCCTTTTGACACTTTTGCCCGTAGGGGGTGGCTGCAGGAAGCAGCAGTTGAGGGTGGCAGATACTCTAAGCCAGTTTGCCAAGGAGGGAGCCTGGGGGCTGGTGGGGGGGAGGGGGGGATGTTGAGAGCCCTGTGAACCCAGGACCTGCTCCTCCTCAGAAACCTGACTTTAGGCTCCAGCAGACTCTCAAGCTCAATCCTACAGGTGTAGAGCAATCACCCATGGAGAGTGAGGTCTGACAGCTCACCCCTCCTTTGTCCCAAAGGCCTGGGGACAAGCAAAGGGGCAGACGGCAGGGGCCAGCAAGAGGAAATTGGGCCAGGCAGCCAACACCAGGCCCGGAGGGGAGAATCCACGCCTCTCCTGTGCCAGCTGCCCCCAGCTTTTCTTCCAGAAAGATCCCTGCCAAGGCTTAGCCAAGGAGAAAAAAGGAAAAGTTAAAAAAAAAAAAAAAAAAAAAAAAAGATACACATTCTGTACACAGCTAACAACAACAAAAAAAGGGACAAAACCCCACACACTAAGGCTAAAATTACAATAAAAATGTTAACTTCATCAATTCCAACTTAAAAAAAATACAACAAATGCAGCAGTTGGTGGTGTGGCCCCTAGCCCCGACCCAGGGGCCAAAGCCAGGCTCGGTGGAGGCTACTCTACGCCCCGCTGGGAGTCAGGAGATTTGCACAGAACACTGCTCAGGCCACCACGGGCTCATTCTTCCCCCTTTCTTTCTTCTTCCTTTCTAGCTCTCTAACCGGGAAAGAAGAAGCAAGGGGCAAGGGGTGGGAGTACGAAGGCCGCCGAGACGGGGTTGGACGAAGCTGAAGCCCAGGGCCGGGAGGTGGCAGGATATCCAAAAGTAACAAAGGAAAATGGAACCAGATGGACATTGAGTGCACAGGTGCCCTGCCAATCTTCTCGGAGCAGAGGCAGGGGAGGGGAGCTGGGGGGGGGGGCGCGCGCCTTTCTTCTGCTTCCATGCTGCAGCCCCTCCCGCCCTTGGTTGCCCCCCCCTCAGAACCAAGGTGACAAACTGCAAGAGGCGTGCGGGTGCTGGAGGCGCGTGCGTTCCGTTCCTGCGTCTCGGCTGCTTCATCCGAAGCGTCCGCCTAGCCCCCTCGAGGGCCTCGGAGTCCCGGGCTTGCTCGGCGCCCAGAGGAGGGCACTGGTAGCAGAAGAGGGGAGAGCGCACTGTCTCACTCGCTCACTGCTCTTCCAGCTCTGCCTTCTGCTTCCTCCCACAGCAACGGTAAAATGTGCTTTCTTGAGATTATTTCAAAAACAGAGAGGGAGAGAGAATGAGTGGCGGCGGCCAGTGGCTCCTGAGGGTGAAGTGTGAGCGCCGGGTGGGTAGGATGGGTGGGCCCTGGCAGGTGGCGTTCCTGAAGCGGGGGGGGGTGGGGGTGGGGGGTGTCTGGCGAAGAATCCAGGTGCAGGGGAGCTGCCTCTCACTGACCATCTGCCTTAGATTTCTTTGGAGCGGATTTCCTTGGAAGAAAAGAAAAAGGAAAGAGAGAGCATCAGCATGGGTCCTGACGATGGCTGGGAAACCAAAGGTGGGCCTCACCGCTGGCCTCTGGCCAGCGCCTCACACAAGCTCACACCCTGTGAGCAGCCCCCACCGATGCTTTGAAAGAGACGAGCCCTACTGTTTCTACCCCCGCTTCCTCCCAGTAGCTGTCTATCCCCAGCCTTAGAAGGTTCCCAAAAGGGGCTTCCTGCTTACATTTCCGGAGAGGACATGGGCCGCTTGCTGGCTGGCTTGGCGCCAGAGCTGTCTTTACTGGTTTCTGAAAGGAAAGATGGAGCGGTAAGCAGCTCGGCGAGGTGGGAGGGCTGGCCGACTTCAGCCACACAGCAGCCCACAGGCCAAGAGAACAAGAGTGGAGGAGACGGGGGCACCCTGCCCACACCCTACAGAAGCCTGCGGAGAGTGACGGCCCCTCCTGTGTGCGCCACCTCTCGCGGTTGCCCGAGGCCCAGGTAGAGGCCCTCACGGTTCTCCCTGGTTGGCCTCATGGGAACTGGCGCAAAGCCCGACGGGGCATCCTGGGGCGTCCATTTCCCACCCTGCCCCCTGGACTTGGGTGTCACCTTGTACCTCCTACTTGAAATTCGTACAGTCCCCCATCTCACTTCAAAACACCCCTGGGAGAGCTTTCCCCAAAGCCGCAAATGAGGCGAGGTGCCCCCCACGAGACCCCCTCCACAGCACCCACCCTAGGTCATCTCCCTCAACTCCCTCATGTAAAGCTCTCCAGTCCAGCTTGGAGCCGGGTCACCCCACCTCACATGATGCTTGCCCAAGGAGCCTCCCGAACGACACCCACCTTGCAACCACCTCACTTGGGTGGCCGGGCCATAGCCCTTCTCATTGCGGGCGGCGATGCGGAAAATGATGGCGGGCTTGGTGGTGTAGTCGATGTGGGCGTTGGAGAGGCTGGAGGATTGCACCAGGCAGGAGGGGCTGGGCCCACAGTACACCCGCATGAAGGCCAGCTGGGCCGGGGTGGAACTCTTGGGCTCGCCACCGGCCTGCGAGCTCTGGATGGCCAGGTACACCGAGTATTCGATGATTTTGCCGGAGGTCACAGACGGTGGCTCCCAGGTGAGGTGAGCACCATCTGGACTCTAGAACCAAGGGGCCAGAGGTCAAGCCCTGCTGTCTGTGGCCCTTGTGACTATTTCACTCTGCCTGTCCAGGAACAGAGGAGCGAGAACACTTCGCAGCTCCCAGAACCGACTGCTCGTACCTCACCCCTGTTCCTGACACAACAGAGCTATTTCACAGCAGATGCAAGAAGCTCTGAGGACATGGCCTCGCCTGCCCTGACCCGGAAGGCAGCCTGACGGAATGACGAAATAACACGACCGGGGACTCAAAGCACAGCCTCCCTTCACCTGCTCTGCCACCGACTGTGTCACCTGGCACTTAGCCTCTTGGTGCCTCGGTTTCCTCATCAGATCCCAGACCTCCTCAGGATGTCGAAGGATTGGATAAAAAAACATGTTGAACGTGGCAGGTAATAGACCCTCACTGAACACTAGCTGCCATGTCAGAGGGGGGAGAACGAAGACGGGGAGGGGAAGGAATTTACACCCTCATCATCCTAGCCAACTGGTGACAGGACCAGAAGCTGCACCCCAGACCTGGCCCAGCAAGAAGGGAGCTCCCAGTGTATGGACTCGGGCTAGGCCTGCTCGACTCCAGCTGGGCACAGGGTCGCCCCACGGCAGGACTCACTTTGCTGATCTTAATGGCACAGGGGGCCCCTGGGAAACCAGGCAGACAGGTCTTAAAGGCTGAGATCTCGCTGAAGGGCCCCCGGCCGCAGGCGTTGATCCCAGCAACTCGGAACTTATAGGCTGTGCCCGGCTGCAGCTCCTGCTTCTTCAGCTGGTTGTAGTCGGGGACGGTGCCCGAGTCATCCTGGGGAAAGAGGCCGGAAGAACAGGAACAGAGAGAGAAAAAGGGGACCTAAAATCCACTGTCGAGAGAGCAGCTCTGGGGTCGGGCTCCGGGGCCAGCACAGCAGTTTCCCACCCCGGGGACGGGGCAGGAGGGCAGCAGTGGCGACAGGGGACCAGCACTGGGCTTCTTTGCAGCTTCGAGGGCCGTAAGAAAAGGAAGTGTGTGGAGAAGGCTCTACACCTGGCTGTCCTCGGGCCAGCCCCAAAATGGAAGGCACCTCTGGGGAGCTTCAGAAGTTCCCACGAGCCCCGATACCTGCCTCATGGCCAGGATCCACCCACCCGAGGGCATCGGCTCCCAGGAAAACTTACGTCAGAAGGAACAGCATCATCTGGTGGCAGGAAATAATGTGTCACCATTACATTGGTACCCTTAATGACCCCCACATCAAACCACTGGTTCTCCTTCTTCACAGGCGCTTTGCTGGGCGGGGGCGGTAGGTCTGGCTTCTGGAAGGCGGGACAGAGATCAAACCCTCAGCCTTTGGGGCCCAGAGGCAGTATCCCCTGAAACCCCATCACACCAAACTCACCACACCCAGGGACTCGATGCCATTGGCCACTTCAGTCAGGGTAGCCGCAGCCTGCAGCTTTGCGGGGCTGGCTACCACCACCGGCTGGGGGGCCACAAACGTGTTGGACGGAGCCAAGCCTGTGAGGAAGAAAGGCATCAGTGAGAGCGGCCCCAGAAACCTGGCTTCTGTGTGGGGAGCCCTTCCCTTGGGCCAGAATGCACTGGTCATGCCTGTGTGGAAGCGCCCAGACGCTTGCCCCCAGACCTTTTCTCCCCAGTCAGCGCAGCTCCCGGGGGGGAGGGGGGAGGCCCTCCTGCTTACTCTCGGTGGCCGTGGAGGGCAGCAGGGCCACGGTGCTGGGGACGGCCGCGGCCAGCTCACTGAGACAGTTGCTCTCGATGGTCGGGTCGTTGAGGCTGTCGGCAGGGGCCAAGGCCTCGGTGGGGAGGTGGTGGTGCTGCTGCTGGGCCTGTGCCTCCTGCAGCTGCTGCTGCTGCTGGACCAGGGCCGCCAGCTCCTGCTGCGTCAGCACGATGGGGATGGTGGTGGCCTGGCCCTCCTGGCCCTCGGCCGACAGGTGGCCTAGCTCCGCCTGCGTCACAGCCGCCGCTGCCTCGGCTGTGTCCATGGGCTCCCCGGTGCCTGCTCCGGGGGGGGGGGGGGAGGGGGGAGGCAGAGATACACACACACACACGCTACTCAAGAGGAGTGCCAGCCGAGGTGGCCCAGCCACCCCCACTCCCCTCCTAGCCTAAGGTCCTCTGGGTACAGCCTCACTTCCTGGCCCACCTGCACCCTGCCCTCCCCATACCAAGGGGCTCTGCCTACTCTTTGGGTGCCAAGTCCAGCCCCCCCGCTGGGCCCGCCCTCCCAATCACATCTGAATCATGCCACCCTGGCAGGGAGGCTCCAGAACCCCCTTGTCCTGGCTCCTCCCAAGGGGCCCATCTTCCCCTCAGGGATCCCGTCTGGCCTGGACTGAAGAAGCTGCAGTGAGCGCCCCCCACCCACCACCTACCCATGACGGCCTGCTGTGCAGCCTGGAGCACCGCCTGGATGGCCAGGGCTTGGGCCTCCTCCGTGGCTGCGGCCTGAGCGGCCGCTTCGGCAGCAGCAGTTACCGCCAGCTCCTCAGGGGTGAGCCCCGTCACCATGAGGGTGGTGGTGCCCGCCTGGGCCTCAGCCATCAGCTCCTGGGGAAGGGACAACTGGTCTACTTCAGACTGTGTGGGCGGGGGCGGCTGGACCACCACAGTGGCCACCACGGCTGAGCTGGCAGGCTCCTGGCCCGAAGACGGGTCCCCTGTACTGCTCAGATCCACGGCGGCTTGGAGCTCAGGGGTCTGGGAGGCTGACAGGACCTCGGCGGACTCCCCCATCAGGGGTGTGGAGGCGGGCTGCAGGAGTTGCCGTGGCGGCAGCTGCTGGCGAGGCCCTGGCGAGGCCTGGAGTTCCTCTGGGGGCTGCAGGATGTCAACAGCAGAGAAGGGCATGTCAGAAGTTTCTGTGTTGGCTATGGTCACTGTTATCGTGGCCGGGATGGGGACTTCGGTGGTCAGAGCCCCTGGGGTAGCCTCAGTCATTGATGAGATCTTCTAGAAAGGGAGAGAAGCCCCCGTCAGAGGGGAGGAGAGAGTGGCCAGAGCCAGGCAGCCTTCATCTTTCCCTGGAGACCTGGTTTTTCATTCTCCGTGGCATCACCCCATCTGATGGGGAGGGCAGCAGGTGACTGAGCAATGCGGGCCGGGGGGCGAGGGGGAGGAGGGGTGCGGCAAAATAGGAGACCCTTGGGATCTGCTGGCCGATTTTCACCCATCCTCAGAGAAGCATCCTGGTCTAGCCAAAGGGGCACTCCGGCTCCTGCCATGTCACTCTTACAACTTATAGCCAAACGACAAGCCATGGGAGATAGCTACGGAAATCAAAGCGTCTCCGAGACGCTGGGGCCTGGGAGACCCCTGCCTCCTGTCCTATGATGCCCCAAGCTGCCCTTTTACGGTCAGGAAGAGGGAACAAGGAGCGGCCCTGTGCCTGGTGCGAGAGCGACACCTGGTGTCCGAGTCTGGAACAGCACAGGCCAAAAGTGCAGTAGGCAGCAGGGAAGAGACGCGGGATCCTCCTGGGGCTCTTACCGGCACCGAGGGGCCTGGGACCGGCGTGGACTGTGTCACAGTGGTCACAGCCCGCGTCAGCGTAGAGGACACGGTTGTTGTAACGGCACTGGAGCTGGTGATGTTCACGCTGTCACCCTGGGTGCTCTCCACCTCTCCTTGGTCACTGGCAGCTGGTGGGGGATCTGCAGGGGAGGGGAGTAAGCAGAAAGGTGACGAGTACCAGGCCAGCAGGGACCGGTGTGTGCGTGGGGGGGGGGGGGGGGGGGGGGGGGGGGGGGGGGGGGGGCGCAGGTCAGCAGGAGCCGCAGGGCCTCCAGCTTGGTTTTGCCCCACAGGGGACACAGTCCCCTGGAGTACCCCAAACCGTGCTGGGACATCGAGCCCCAAGAAATCCAACTACTGGCCTCTGGCCAGGTGGATCTTTTAGTTACCACCCCCTCCTCGGCCTCTGAGCCCCGGGCTCCAGGAGACGACTAACGCCACGAGGTTATCTTCACTCACCTTGGTTCGAGCTCATGTTGGAGGTGACGGTGGTGGCCGTGTGCGTGGTCCCGGTCTCGTGCGTCTCACAGGGGGGGTTGGAACAGACCCTCTGTGTCGGGAAAGGAGCCAGCAACGAAGCACCGGCCTGGGGGGTGACGGTGGCCGGTGCTGCCACCTCCAGGCCGGACTCTAGGGTCCTGTGGGAGGGAACGGTATCGGGGAGCAGGGCGCCCACACTGACTGACATGGTGGTACCAGTGGAAGTGGTCTGGTGTGTCTCACAGGGGCGGCCGGCAGGGGGCTGCTGCCCTCCCTCAGGCTGGCCCGCACCCCCACTGGAGGTGGCTGTGGTGGGTGTGTGCGTGGTGCCCGTCTCGTGGGTCTCGCAGGGTGGGTTGGAGCACACCCGCTGGGCGCTGCCCGCGTTCGAGGTAGTGGCGGTGTTGGTGGTGCCCGTCTCGTGGGTCTCGCAGGGCGGGTTGGAGCAGACTTGGCTCACGGAGGCCGAGGGGCACAGCAGCGCCTCCAGGGCCGTCACAGTCACGGTGGTGCCAGGCGAGCTCTCGTACGTGGGCGTGGGGGTCCCCCGTGCCTCGCCGGGATCCCCGGCACCCATGGCGGAGCGGACCGTGGTGGGGGTGTTGGTTGTGTGGGTGTGATGGGCCTCCAGCGGGCGCCCCACGGACACCAGCGGGCTCAAACCAGCCACGGGGCCATCCTTGCCTCCGAGGACACCGGGTCTGAGCTGGCCGCTCACGGGAGCCAGCTGCACGAAAGTAGTGCCACCGCGGCTGCCGGCCCCCACCGCCAGGCCCGGCCCGAGGAGGGGGCCAGCCGCGCACGGGGCCGCCCCGGTGGCCATCACAGTCATGGTGGTGCTGGTCACGCTGGTCTGGCGAGTTTGGCACAAGGGCTTCCCGGGACCCTGGGCCCCCTCCAACGCCCCGGCAGCCACGCTGACCCGCACCACGGCAGGCGCGGGGCCAGCCACGCAGGCGCGCCGGGCATCTCGCTGCTGGCCGGCCACGGCAGTGGTGGCCGTGCTGGTGGTGCCGGTCTCGTGGGTCTCGCGGGGCGGGTTGGAGCAGGGGCGCTGCCCGGCCATGTTGGACGTGGCGGTGGTGGCCGTGTTGGTGGTGCCCGTCTCGTGTGTCTCGCAGGGTGGGTTGGAGCAGACGCGAACCACGCTGCCGTTCTGCTGCCCTACTGTCGAGGTCACGAGAGAAGCAGCCGCCTCCTGCTTGTCACAGACGAACTGCACTTGGGCGGCCTGGGGCTGCCCCCCGAGGTTGGCCACAACGGTGGTGGTGGCCGTGTTGGTGGTGCCCGTCTCGTGCGTCTCGCAGGGGGGGTTGGAGCACACCAACGTCACGGTGCCCGGTTGCACCTCCCCCTGGCCCGAGTCAGCAATGGTGACCGTGGCCGTGGGCTGTTCTGTAGTAGGCGAGGCCAGAATGGACACGGGGAGGTCATGCACGGGCTGGGCCTCGACGCCACTGGGTGCCGTGATGAGAGTCACCTGGGTAGGCTGGGAGACAGGCTAGGGGAGATGACAGACGGGAAGGGTTACTTCTGTAACTTCCTATCTGTCCGCCCCTCTGGCCATCCTACAGCGTTACCCATGTTGGGGGGGGGTGGGGGGGGAGGGAAGCATCCACTCAGCTCCTAAAGCGACAGCCCTCGTAAATCCAGGACCTGCTCTCCTCTGACCCCCAGACACTGACTTGCTCAGGGACCAGGGAAGAGGCATGGCTTCACCTCAAAGGCCATGGGGACTGGGAAGGGGCTGTGGGGTCGGGTCCGAGGCTGGGGCCAGCCCTTGGTCAGGGACAGAGCCCCGCTGACCCTGCACCACACAAAGACCAGCAAGAGATGCTTTGCCACTGAAACAAATTCAGCTTAAGACGTACGAAGAAAAAAAACGCTATGTACGCAGGAAGAGAAATTGTTGCATCCTCTGCATTGTAAGAGAAAACATCCGTCCAGCATTCAAAAACTAGAACCGCCTAAGACCTAACTAACGTCTTGACACGACGGTCGGGTGGTGACTGAGAATCACAGTGGTGTAATAGGGAAGCGCCCTCCCCCACCCCCGCCCCCGGGGTCCACGCGGGTGAGGAAAAGAGGGCCTGGCGTGGGGCCCCAAGACGAAAAGCAGAAGCCTCGGGCTGTGGCTCATCCGTGCGCACATGGAGTCCAGGACATGCGCCCGCCCACCCCTGCGCTCTCCCAGCTGTCCTACCTGCATGGTAATGGTGGGGGTGGTGAGCCCGCCGGCCGCCGTCAGTGTGGTCTGTGCGGCTGACACGGTGATGGCAGTGGGGTTGATCACTTGGCTAGAGAGGGTGGCGATGGTGCCCAAGGTGGTGATGGGTGTGGCCAGGGAGGCGCTGGTACTGTGGCCCCCAGCTCCGGCAAGGCTGGTGGAAACGGTGCCTGTCACTGTGCCGAGGGTTGTGACACCTGGAGGGGAAGGGGGCAGGGGTGGGGTAAGGCCCGCGGCTGGGGCCTTCCCCCTGCCAGCAGCTTTTCCCCTGGTGGGGCCAGGACACGGGCAGACCCGGAGCACACCCCAGGGGAACAGAAGGCTGGGAGTGGGCACCTCTCCCATGGAAAGGCGGGCCCAGCATCTACGCTACACACCTGTGGTGCCCTTCACAACCAAGGTGGTGACAGCTGGCTTGACGGCAGAGACTGTGACAGGAGTGACCAGGCGGACACCCCCCATGGGCACGGTACGGAGGATGGTGCCCGGCTGTCCAGGGGCCCCCTTTAGCACCACCTGGAATGCCAGAGGAAAGCGCCCCCATGTCACTCCAAGGTTGCCCAGACCCTGTGCCGCCCCCTCCCGGGCCCCTCAGGAGGACACGTGTGGCCTGCTGGGGTCCTGGGCTAGACACTGGGGGAGGAGGGGAGGGCCAGGCATGCCTCACCTGAGTCACTCCTTGCTGCCCGTGGCCAGTGGCGATTTTAGGGACAGCTGTGATGATTTTGGCAGGTGCTCCCGTTCCCGAAGTCATCACCTTGGTGGTGATAATGGTGATGGGGGACTTGATGCCAGGACTGCTGGTCACACCTGGGCAGGAGACGGGTGGCTTGGCCTCAGGGGCTCTTCTCTGTCAGTACCCCTTGCCCATCTCCCTCGCGCCCTCCCACCCACCACCCCTTGATTCACAAACCAAGTACCAATTACAGCTGCATCCCTGCCACCTCCCTACAAACGTGAAACAAGAGGCGAGGAGAGGAAGAGAGAGAAAAGGCAGAACAGAAGCAAGAGCACGCCACAGCCCAGCCTCCGCCCGCCTGTGTGGTCTTAGCCTCCCTCCCTGTCCGTGCCCTGGGGGCAGCCCCTACCTGTGGCGCCAGCCTGTGTGATGATGGCCGACATGGGGATGGTCTTGATAATGGTGGTCGTGCCAGGCTTGGTGGTGCTCGGGGACACGCTGCTGATGCCCAGGATGGTGGGCTTAGTCCCAGCCCCGCTGGCCTGCGTGGTAGTGATGATGGTGGTGGGCTTGCCATCTGCGGAGGTCACTAGCTTCAGGATGGTCCCGGCCGGCAGGGGCCCTTTGGTCTGCAAGAGCAAAACAGGCAGAGGACAAGGTGAGCTGGCGTCAGTGCCAGGATGGAAAGTCTGACACCAAGTCTGCTCTGGCCCCTCTCTACTGGTGGCCCGAACAGCTCATGGAATGTTCTGAAGACTGGGAGAGATGGGACCAAGCCACAGGACTCTCTGTGCCACGTGTGCTTGAGATCTTCTCTAGGCAGGGAGGCGAGTTCTTCCTGCGGCCCAGTGCCCCCCACTTGTGTCCGAGTCTGGGGCCCACAAGCTCACCTGGATGATCTGAGTCACTGGGCCTGTAGATGCCTGGCCCGTGACTGCCGAAGTCTGAACCGGTTTGGTCTGAACCACTGACATCACTTTGCCCAGGTTGGAAATCTAAAAAAGGAAAGGATGGAGCAAGGAGTGATATGGAAACCAATCAAGAGCACAGCTCGGGTTAGGGCTCTCCTGGCACAGGCCCAGGGCAGCGCCACAACCTGGCAGCTGTCACATGCAGCAGGGTGGCACCTGTCACTCACCAGAGCACTGCCTCCTGGGACAGAGATGGGGCTCTTCACCAGGGTGATGGTCTTGGTGACTCCACCCACCACTGTGGTCACCACCTGGGCTTGCTGGGCCACTGTCACAGTCCCTGACTTGTGGACTGTGATGATGGGGCGGGTGGATGTGTTGGCAGCAGAGGAGACTGATGTCCCCACCTGGGCAGCTGCAGTCTTCAGCATTCGAGTGGCTGGGTTGCTCACCTTGAAGGGGCAGAGACGGGCCAATAAGCAGGACAGAGAGTCCGAGCCCCCTCCCAGAACGTCCTGGCAGGCCCACGGCTCCCTCCCCCGCCTGCGTGCTCTCCTACCTCCCCCTCCCCCCACCAACCCACCTGCAGAACGGCTCAGCTTGGTTTACCTTTCTTTTAGTGAAGCAAAGGAGGACAATGGCAGACAGCACACCTAGCCTAAGGCTGTCCCAGCCCCAAAAGTAACCTCTTGTTCCACAGCCCACGGCAAGCAGCAATTACGGGCCAACAGCCCTGCAGCTTGGTCCAAAGCCCGGAAGGAGTGACCACTGTCGTATCACAGTGTCCAGAAGGCCCCCGCCCCAAGGCTGCTGGCTCTGGGTCAGGCCTGAGGAGTGCTCACCATGACCGGCGAGGAGGCCACCTTTACGGTAGCCGGGAGGGTGGTGGTGCCAGGCGTCACGGCCACGGTTTTGACGATGGTGGTGCCTGCTGGGACACTCAGCACCGTGGGCGCCGAGGAAGGAGGGATCTTCTGTGTGGCGGCCGCCGCGGCCGCCAGTGCGGCCATGCCGCTCATCTGTGGGCTGCTGCCAATCACCTGCGGCGGGCACAGCGAGCATGAGCCCACTGAGGCCACCCAGCTCCCTGTTCCAGACGCTTCGGCAGAGCCCAGCACGATGCTCGGCCCTGCCCAGGGAGCCTCCCTCAGCCCCAGCCCGGCCTCCTGCCACTGGCCAGGTGCGCAACCCAGCGGCAAGCGTCTGCCAGAAGCTCCAGGTCTTGTCTAAAAGACCACGGAGTCAGATAGAGCTCTCTCCTCCTGGCGCCGGGTCAAACCCCAGCTGGCTAGATTCTCCCCTCAGGCTTCCAAACAAGAAAGTTCATGCTTAGGATGCCCTTGTGTGAGTCAGATTCAGACAGCAGGGAGGTCCTTCTGAGGCATTAGCTTATTAATTTATTATTAACTCAGTAATGACAGGTTGCCTCCTCTGTGCTTCGCAGCCGAGAAAAGCCCAAGCTGGGCGCCATCGATCACCAGGAAGTCCCACCCTACCCGATGGCTCCTCACCGTCCCCTGGGCACTCTGCGTTGGCACAACCATTCGCACGCCTGCAGGAAGGGAGGTCACGGTGACGGGGGCTTTCCCAGCCTGGCTGGCAGGTCTCATGGTGACCAATGGGGTTCCTGTAGTTGCCTGAGGACCGGTGACTTTGAGAACAGCGGGAACACCTGGCGAGGGAAGCAGGTGGCCATCAGCGGAGCCCCAGACCTCTGTTGTGTTCAATGTGTAAACGTGAAGCGCTTCCATGACCCGCTTGTGCGTCACGTATGGTCCTTCCAGACACCCTCAGGGACTGGCTCCGTCCCAGCACTCGGCGGCCCGAGCCGGTGCCAATGACCATCAGGCGTGCTGTCTTCAGCAGCCCTCGCTCAGGCACACCATCTCCTGGTGGACTAGCCCCTACCCTCAGGCAAAGCACCAGGCCCCCAGCTCACCTTGAGTCCTGGCTGCAGTGGGCACGGAAATCGAGCTGCCAGGCACTGTCGGCAAGACCTGGATGGTGGTGGTGGTCGGGGGTGCGGTGGCAGCCTGGGGCAGGAGCGTGATGCCTACTTGGGTCAGCGGCTGCACAGCAGGTGCGGCTGCTGCTGGGGCAGGGCTCTTGGGAGGGTTGGCAGGCACAGACGGGACTGGATTGGGTGTGGGGGAGGTGGCAGTAGCAGCCGTGGCAGGAATGTCATATTTCTGGAGCTGCAGAAGGTAACTGTCGGCTGTCGCCACTGCCCCCCAGCTCACCTCCAGGGAGTTGGTGTTGGCTCGTACCAGCTGTACCCGGGCCGGGGGCGGTGGCTTTTCTGTAAGAGAGCGCAGCTGGTGAGAAGGGGGACCAGCAGAAGGCCCCACCCTGGGCCTCAGCTGTGCTGTGGCGGCCTATGGCTCCTATCCGGCTGCCTTACCTGTCTCCAGGTACCAGAGGTCCTTGCAGCAGACCTGGTTGTTCCAGGCCTTTCGGTAGCCGTCGCGCCCACTCCATATGTATAGGCGGGTATTGATGGCTACGGCACAGTGGCCAGCTCGGGCCCGAGGAATATTGTCCTCCAGCGTGTCCATCAGGATGGTCTCCCAGGCCATGGTATCTGGGGAGGGTGGGAGGGGGAGGTCAGCAAGGGGGCAGAGGAACCCACAACCCCCAGTGGCCCTTTGCTGTCAGGGATGGGGAATTAAAAAACAGGAAGTCATCAAAGATTACTAAACTAAGAACAAACAAACGAAAAATAACTCAGTATGGCAAAAAGACCATAAAAGATAAAATTATAAACCACGAAGTACAAACTGGGAAAACTATTTGAAACGCACAGCCAAAGGTTTCAGTTCTTGCACATCAAACAACACAAGAGCCTATAGAAAGAGATGAGCACAGAGGAACGCAAGTTACGGAAAAGGCGACAGAAGGCTCTAAGGAGAAATACATACCCTCGCTCAAAGTAAGAGAAATGCAAACTGAAACCGTAAGGCGCCTGGCAGTTTGATTCTCCTGCCTGTTGCAGCCGGGGCTCCAGGTGAGCCGGGGGGGGGGGGGGGGGGGGGGGGGGGGGGCCCGGGGGGAGAGTCAATCACCTATCAGACCTGGTGAAGAACAGTGTACTGGCGCTGCCGGGTGCTGGGGGCACCTACATGGGTACGGCCTTTGTGCAGGACGGCTTGGAAACGGCCTTCAACAGCGAGTCTACCTTTAGGTCTTTACCCTTCAAATGCACTTGCACGTAGGCGAGGACAGTGCAAGGATACTCACGGAGCAGCGTCTGTGCAAGTTTCAACACCTTGATAGCAATTCAAAAGAATGAGGCCGCTCGCCGTGCGGGGACGGGATGGTCTCCAAGACAGAATAAACCGAAAAGGCCAGGCGCGGCGTGGCGCTGCGCGGCGCTGTGGAGGGCAGGCTGCCGTTGTGTTTGTTTGTTTATAAAGGAACCTACAAACGATGCTGGTATATGTAGAAAAGTCCCTGCGGGGTGGATGACAAGCCCCCAACACGGCTGCCTCTGCAGAACGGGGGGCGGGAGGGAGGCTCTGCACGGTTAAGCTTTTGTACTTTCAGACGTCGGACCATGTGTAGGAAAAGAGCCTATTCAAAACATGAAAGCGAGCACCCCTCAGAGTGTTCTGACCAGTGGCTACTTCTCGTGGATTCTAGAGGCACGGGCCTTAGAAGCAGCTTCGCTCCCTGCACACCCCACACAGCTCTCGGGACTGAGGAGGGCCAGCCTCCCGCAGCCCTCCGCAGGCCACTCCGAGCCCGAGGAGGCCATACCCAGGTTGAGACAAGCCAGTGTGTTGGTACACTTCCACTCCTTCTCGTGTGTGGCCACTTTGACGTCATCCATGACGAGAGGCACCCAGCCACCAAACACGTACATTCTGGGACGAGGGAGGGAAGAGTAGGAGAGGATTGTAGAGGAGGTGCCAAGCTAGAGGCCACCTATTCCATCCAGAAAGTTCTAAACACGCTTGGTCCTCCAGCTCTCCCCAGGAGAGTCCCCCGGGATGCATGAAAGCTCTTGATGCAGCCCTCTCCTTGGTGGCTCAGCTCTCACAAGAACTGTGTCACCTCCACCACGTGGCATTGTTACTTAGCTCATCTAAAGCTCACCTCAGTCCCCATCGCTCTCATATGCGCTTTGGGACCTTGGCGTTGACAAAGACACCCAGCTGCTTGTGCAGAGTATCTAGAACAGTCTGCGCCCCTCTACCCCGAGTCTGTCTTGGTCTCCCGGGGTCGTAATGTAAAGACGGGGCTGCAGAAGGCCAGCCCAACCAGAAAGAGGCCTCCTCAGGCCTTAGGAATTGCAGGAACAAAACTGAGAGCCCTTTGGGGGCGGGGGTGGGCTAGGAAGAGAAAAGCCATGGCCAGCTACTCACTTGTTTCCTATGGTTGTGGCTGAGTGAAGACTTCGAGGAAGAGGTGCCACCCCGCTGAGACTGGGCTTATTCCACGTCAGAGTCTCTGTGCAGAGCAACGGAGAAGGGAGGGTTACTTACACTAAGTCAGACTCGGGCCCTCCACCCCAGAGGCTGTTCCCCAGGTGCAGGGAAGGCTCTGGAAAGTGGGTGCCCACCAAGTGCAAGAGTTCCATGCCTGGCCTCCCTACAGCCCAAAGAGGCCCTCTGGTCACCAGGTTCCAGCATTTACCAAGCTCGGTTCACAATCCTGGCAAGTACATCTCGTCCGACACTTACTGAGCACCTGCTATGAGCCAGCACTGCTCTCGGGGGTTCGGGTTGGAGTGGAAAGCACATCCTCAAAAGGCACTGCACGCCACACCCTGCTCTCCACGAAACGCGTCCACCCCCATGCTGCCTCCACGGTCCATGGACCGAGCGTCGGCAAGCGCTGTGCTGCTAAGAATTTCGCTCACAGTAAACGGTTTCCTTTGAGTGCCAACACTGATCTACAGTTCAACGTAACCCTGCAGACACATCTTCTCCCCGCAGCCTTCCTTCAGGCCAAAAACCTGACCTTTTTTCAACCACTCCTATTATCCACCCTGGTTATGAGCCCAAGTAGTCCCCGGAGGTCTCACGGGTCTCTCAACATCCCGTTTCACTGTGAGAGACCAAGGTGCGTCACTCCTGTTACAGTCTCATCACTGACGAATTGACGGGGACGAATGCTACGTCATCTGGCCAATTCCATCCTAGAAAGGCCTTCAGCCCCTTCCCCTTATCCTCCTCTGAGAGAGCAGACCAACTGAGCCAACTGAGCCTTGCTCTTTCTTGAAAGCAATGCCACGAGCTCAGGGCCAAGAAGAGCACAGCCGCCAACAGGGTCCTGCTCCCACCCCGCCACGACGAGGAGGAGCTAAGTGGCATGCTCACTCCATCTCGCCGTGAGCCCCATCTCCCCACCCCACGCCGGCCGCCCCACAGACTAGCTTCGCTCCAAGGCTACTGGAGTAGCGGCACCCACGTCTTACCAATGTCCAGGGTCCAGAGGTCCCCCAGTCTGCAGCCACTCATCCCTCCGTAGATCACCAGCTTGGACTTCTTATTGTCTTTCTCAGTGTAGACCACAGCAGTATGTGACTCCCGGGGTGGAGGCAGGACGCCATAAGTGATGGGGATGTCCCAGGCTACCACTCCGGAGCCTGGCCGCAATTCCAGGATGTATAAGTCATTCAGATACCTAGAGGAAAAAGGTCAGTTATGGCAAGCCCTGACTCCCTGCACCAGAGGCCTCACCAGCTCCTAGGGGTGAACAGCAGACTCCTTCAGAGACAAAGGGGGCTAAGTCACATGAACCCCAAGTTCTTCTACCCTGAGAAGGGGCTGCCAGAAGCTCCCAAGGATGAGTGTGAGTCCAAGAGGAGCAGTGGGATGGGCTGTGCTGAGCCACCTCGCACACAAAACTGGGCACCACCCTAGGGCCTCCCTAGGGTAAAAGGGGGTGCCAGTGTGGGACTATCTTCAGACTTCAGAAAGGTACTCGGCCCCCGGCCTTGGAAAATACCATCATTAAGAGTGCAGGCAGCAAAGGCTAGGAAGGAAAGCGCCAGCTCTAACTTGGTCTGAGGAGCAGGGACCAGCTGAAGGCAAGGTGGGTTTTGACCTCCTAGCCCAGCGCTCCTGCCACGCCCACCTCCTCTGAGTTAGAGACCTCAGAGCCGGAAAGCTCCCTATAGGGTATCTAGCGTCACCCTCTCATTTTACAGAAGAAAGGGACTTGGCACGGTGGAGTTGGCTGGTATGTGGCGAAGCACACCCACTCTCATGATTGCACATGAAGGGGACAAAGCCTCACCTCGGAATGTTGTTCTTGGGGTCCTCACTATCGTTGGCCAGACCCCCAAACAGGTAGCACTTGTTGCCCACAAGGGAGAAGCTGTGCCCAAGCCGAGGACATGGAGGGGGTCCGTTTTTGGGCGTCTTTGCTTTGAGTCTCTTCCATTCCCACCGGCTTGCCTGCAAAATCAAGACTCAGGGATTGAATCAGGGATGAGCTGGTCACCATCAGGGCCTGGGCCATTTGTCATGGAGGGAGGAGCCGGGGGTGGGGGGCAGGTAGGCACCTGAATGGAGTAGGAAGGTCCCGCAGCCTCCCCTCCCACCCAAACATTGGGAGCGCACTGTGGGCCATTACCTGAAGCTCATAGAGGTCATTGCTGTATTTCCCATACTCCACCATCCCACCAAACACCAGCAGGCGAGTCCCATCACACACGAAGCCATAGGCTGCACACCCGGGGGGAATGTCCCCTCTCACGGCTGGGATGAACCACTGGTTAGTCGCTGGGGAATGAAAGGAAGCAGAAGTCAGAACACCTCAGGAAGTCTTAAGAACCAGAGCCCCCACTCCTCTTACTCCCCAAATCCAGCAGCCTGCAAAACGTGGTCTGAGAAAGGAGGGGCCAGCCCTCCATCCAAGCCATCTTCTAAGCCCCATGACCTCAGAGGCCACCTCAAAACAGCCTGCAATCACCCAGCTTCTCATCAAGGTCGTCTTAATAAGCAGGAAGTCACTAACCAAGATAATTCATTAGCTTCTGGGAATGTGGCCACTGACTTCCTTCCCCTACTGCTCAGTGGGTCCAAAATTGGAAAGAAATGTCTAACACTCGAAATACCCTCTCAGTGGCCCTGTGCACCTCTTCCTGGGGGTGCAGGGCTACACTCTAAGTGGCTCAAAGAGTGACTGTGGCCAGCTGAGGGAGGCCAATCAAGGCAGCCCAGCCTGCTGGCTGAGGAGAGCCGGGGGCGGGGGGGGGGGGGAGAATCAATCTCTGCTGGTGTCTCCTAGGTGATGGTCCACACCACCCACCTTTCCCCTCATGTCACACCCATGCTGATCTAGAACATTCCTGAAAGCCAGAAGTGGTGGCTGCAAAAGCTTCCCCCAAATCCATCACCTCTAAGTGGGGGTGGGGTGAGGAGGCCACCACCAAAGAAGAGGGTGAATGAGAGGCCCTCCCTTGCTCCACCCAGCACCCCGCTCCTCCCCTCACTTCAGGCTTGCATCCCGGGTTCAGCTCCCCGTACACCTGCCATGCCGGGGCCTCCCAAAGAACTGAGAGGGCGCACATCCTCCTCTTCTGAGGGATCCTTTTCATTACACATTATTTAAAGGACTATCCCTGGGGCGCCTGGGTGGCTCAGTCGTTAGGCATCTGCCTTCGGCTCAGGTCATGATCCCGGGGTCCTGGGATCGAGCCCCGCGTTGGGCTCCCTGCTCAGCGGAGAGCCTGCTTCTCCCTCTCCCACTCCCACTGCTTGTGTTCCCTCTCTTGCTATGTGTCTCTCTCTCTCCGTCAAATAAATAAAATCTTTAGAAATAAATAAATAAATAAAGGACTGTCCCCAAACAACATGCTACACTCCCTCCAAAAACCTCAAACCAGGCACCAGATGCAGATCTGATTCCACACGCCTAAAACTGCTTTTGGTCAAATATGAGTGACTTGAGACTGAAGCACCCGGTGGGTGGAGCAGGTACCGGAGCATGAGCAGCCCTGGAGTCTGAATGGGGGTTAGGATCATCCCACAGGGAGGGCCTTGGGAGGCCCCAGCTGCTCAACTGCTTCTCAGCCTTTCTGTATAGGCATGTACTTAACTTGGTCCTTGATACATCTCTCCTGCACACTAGGTGACGAGTCCTACATACACGTCAGCCAAAAGGCCCGCCCTCACCTAAAAGCACACTGTACCTCCTGCGAGTACAGCCTTTCCTGGGGTAAAAGTGCCCCGTCGCTCACTGCTACCCAATTCTACAAGTTGGTTTGGAACAGGGTGTTGATCCTCCCCCGCGCCACCTACCCCTCCTCCACGGTTCGGTGGCGTCACCGGGACTCCGGGATGACCAGCAGCATCCCGCGCCCGGCCGTCTGCCACCTTCCTGGTAGAGGTGCAGCGCGGTAGTGCCCGCGGCGTGCGCGTGCGCCCAGACCCTGGGCCCCGGCTCCCCGCCTCACCGCCATCCCCGCCGCGACAACCAAACCGAGAACGGCAGCGGCTCTCCCCACCGAGGCAAACCACCACGCACGCTAGAAGAGACGGGATTCCATCCAAGATACTGAGATAAAAGCTAAAAGAAGCCTTGGAGACTGCCTCGGCCAAACCCCCTCAGTTGATAAAGGAAGAGAGCCCAGGAGGAGAAGCGACTTACTTACCTGAGGTCACAGAGCAAAACAGACACAGACAAGGACCTCGTCACCAACTTACACTTGATCTTAGCCAAAAGGCCAAGAAGCGGTACCTTGTCACCAACTTAAAAGTAATCACTAGGTACCCACCCAAGGGCCCCACGTACAGGGAGCTGTTGGCCGCCCTCACCCACCTGAGCACCCTCCCAGCTGCTGCACAGAGCTGTGGAGCCATTATGGGGCCAGCGGTCTGGGCTGTGACAAAGCTATATGGCAAAGAGGGTCAACCCACAGCTTTCCCATCGCGCTCTAATCACCGGCCCAGCTGGCCCGGCTAGAAGTGACGTCCCAAGAGCTCACGATCGCCAGCTCATTTAAGAAGAGCTGATCTAGGGGCGCCTGGGTGGCTCAGTCGTGAAGCATCTGCCTTCAGCTCAGGTCATGATCCCAGCGTCCTGGGCTCGAGCCCCGCATCAGACTCCCTGCTCCGCGGGAAGCCTGCTTCTCCCTCTCCCACTCCCCCTGCTTGTGTTCCCTCTCTCGCTGTGTCTCTGTCAAATAAATAAATAAAGTCTTTAAAAAAAAAAAAAAAGAGCTGACCTTGTTCTAGAACACTCAGGGCAAGGGCCCTCCACACCACTGTCGAGAGCAGTCTGTCAGGCAGCACCCGTTTCTGGTATGAGGCCACAGCCCCAGTTCTGCCCGCGAGATGGCACAGCCGCCGTCTCGAACACACCAGCTGCTCTCAGTTGCCCCGTAATCATATTATCTCTAGCTCATCGAGCGGGGCATCTTGTAACCCAACCTCTGGGTCCCACATTCTCCATTCGCTCTGGCTTGTCAGTGCGCTCAGCCGGGAAGGGGTTTGAGGAGAGGAGGCCACCTGCAAACAGGACCCTTCGTGGGATGACCAGAAACACGACTCCATCTTCTCTCTCCTCGGCAAGCCTGAAACCGCAGCTTTGGGGTTTTATCAGCTGCCCCACCCCTTTCCCCACTAGCCACCTCCATCTGTAGCCGCTCCTGTCAACCTCTACGCATCACCCCCTAGAGACTGTACCACACAGCTGGGGAGACAGTCCACCGGTGGCCTTTTTGTTCACTCTGTCACGCCAGGGCGCTTCCTGCGTGGCGGACACAAGGCCAAGCGCAGGGAGGCACAGACAAGCCCACTCTCACCCGCAAGCTCCCAATCTAGCAGGAAGGCTGCCGTGCCCTCCACTCACGATGGGAGGAGCGGCCCGGGACACGTCTGCAGCACACCTGAGCTTGGGAGCACAGAACAGGGCAATGTGGCAGAGGGGACTTCTCAGAAAAGGTGAATTTGGAGCCAGGCCTTGAAGGGTGAACAGGATTTCCTGACAAATGAAACTAACAGGCCCAATCAGGAAGTGACTGCAAGAGCCCAGTTAGAAGAGAGGAGGTCTCAGAATGGAGGGGGGAGCAGATTTGAGAAGAGCCTAACTTAGCGGCCAATTAGCTACAGGGACAGAGGCACAGGAAGGTGTTTCCAAGGCGGTGGCCTGTGCCTGGTAACTGAAGGAAGAAACAGCCCAACTGTCTCCATGAAGATCTGTACTCCAAGCGCTCCCGCGTGACCCTACCACCAGCTGGCAGGGTGACCCTAGACCTGTCACTTCCCCTCTCGGACCCCAATTTCCTCATGTGCAAAAACAAGGAAGTTCCACTAGATGTTTTCCAGGCTGTTAACAGTCACCAGACGTTAAAGAACCACTGAGGCAGACCAGCCTTGGGCAACTGGTTTGGTGACCAGCCACACCCTCCCCTCGCCAGGGCACACCCCACCGTCAGCACCAGGTCCTCTCCATAATCCGCTTTGCTACGCTGAGATAAAATTTCCTAAGGCCAAGGACAGTAGCTACCTCAAGACCTCCCAAAGGCCAGTCAAGTGTCCCACAGCTGCTGTGATAGCTGTCGCCAAAGAGGAAGGACACACACCCTTCAAATGTCACCCCCAAATCACTGAGCTAACCAAGACAGCGAAGTGCTCACACACGCCCTGAACGCGCCCCCTGGAGCCGTTTATCTTAGCAACAGGGAATGCTTCCAGCCAGATCAGCTCTCTCTCCACAAGGTCTCTCATCCCACAAAAGGAAAAGTGCAAGAGAAGAGGCATAAGGACAATATGCTCTGACCTGATTTAAAACAAAACAACGGCAAGCAGAAGGGCCGCTGTCGAGGCAACAGCTAAGGCTCCCAGGCCCCTGCGTCCGTGCCCCCACTGGTGGAAGAGGGGCATCTCTCCCAAGGAGAAGGCAAGAACCTTGCAGCTAGAAAAACCACAAGCAGACACCAAACGCTGGACAAATTCCTGCTCCGTTCAAATAATGAGCAAACCCTCAGAGGAACGGGGAGTTGGGTCTGCTAGTGGCTCTCCTGAGAAGCTGCCTGAGGAGTTGATTAGCGCAGTTTCCAAACTGCTAACCTGGAGGAATCCAGGGCTGCAGCCCTTTGGGGAAGGCTGGCTAGCCTCTACTACATGACATTACCCTTGCAGATGTGAAATGAATTAATGTCAAAGTGGCCAATTCATTTTAATAAACTAATGAATATGCAGAAGCCCCTGGAAGCACTGGACTTTAGAGCTGATGGTAATTAGGCCCCTGCCCTACTTTCTAAAATTGTATTTCCCTGTTAAGGAGCCTGCTCCAGGCCCTATGAGAATCAAGTCAGTCCAAAGAGTTTAGAAGGTTCTGCTCAGGGCAGTGGCCTCTCTGAAAGAACCCTGCCCCTCGGCCTTGCCTTACTGAGCGAACTGCCGCCGCCGCCGCAGCTGTCTGAGCTGGCACTGGGCACCACCAACCAGCCCAGCCTCGCTGGGGGCAACAGGTGCTGAGACCCTGAACGCAAAGGGTCACCTGCAACCAACCAGCCTTTGAAAGTCAACTTAGTAGGGGCAACAACCTACAGGGAGCAGAGAAAGCTGCACACTCTGCCTCAGGGGAGGGAGAGGAGGGCACCCAACCCTCATCACGCTAACCACTTCTCCCTTGGGCGCCAGCTCCCCACCCCAGAGCAACCTCAAAGCTGGGAGGACGTGCCCAGATTCAAGGACCTGGTATTGCCAGAGCCCTGGGAAAGAATGGACCTGGAGCGAATGGACTCTGCTAGATGCGATGCCGGCGGGGGGGGGGGGGGGGGGGGGGGGGCTGGAAAACAGCTCCCGGCCACCACCAAGCTGAACGCATTCCCCTGCTGCAGAGGGGGACTTCCTAAAAGACCAATGACAGGTGTGTGGGTGTGTGTGCGTGCTCGCAGCCAGCCTGTGCTTTTCCCCCAGAAGAGTGCACGCGGGCCCGCTGGCCTCAGGGAGAATGCCTAGCCCCTCCTTCTGAGCCAGGCGAGGTGCTGTGTGCCATGGTCCCTTCAACAGGCAGCAACACGGTGTGCAAAGCAGGCCAAAGAGGCCACTATGGGCAAGAGACCACAGGAGGATGCGGCCCAGTCCCAGAGCTAGCAAGGACGCTAGGCAAGGGGCACGCACAGCAGCTTTCTGTGTCCGGAGGAATCATACTCCTCCCAATCAACGACACCCTGGGTTTGGGGGAGGTATGAAAATGGGCAAGGTAACGTCAACCTCACAGAAGGAGAAGAGGTAAGGACCCACCTAGCCCACTACGGATCACTGGATTTCACCTCCTACACTGGAGGGCCCTAGATCAAGAAAAGAAGCAACCTGAAGAGAAAAACACTACAGAAGTAAACGGCGAAAGGGGGGGACAGCAATGCCGCCCTATCTGAGTGCCCAAGGCTCCTGCACAACCTCCGAGACGGTTACCCAGCAGGGCACACAACCCCCCCACCCCGCGTCGGGATTAGGGTGCTCAACTCTGCCCCTAATCCGTAATCTAGAAGCCTGTCATTTCTCCCGAATAAGCATCAAAGACGAAGAAGAGCTGAGCAGGCGCAGGAGGAGGGAGGAAGGGGGTGGGACTCTGCCTGCGCCAAAGGGACGCATCCGCCAGCCCGCCCGCCCGGCGGGGTAACGGTGTGTGTCTCAAGTCAACGCCGGCGACGCCCCCGCCCCCTCACCAACCGGACTGGAGAATTTCTCTCGGATAATGAAAAGCACTCCTCAAATACAGGAGCCGAGGGGGAGGGGCAATGGAAGAACGGGGAGAGAGAAGGAAAAAGAAGAGAAGCCGCGCTGAGCAAAGGGTCGCGGAACAGAGAAGAGAGCTGATCAGTGCGGAGGGAGAGGGAGGAAAGGGAGGGAGAGAAGGAAGGAGGGGAGGGAAAGAAAAAGGAGGGGAGGGAG